AGCAAGGGCTATATGTTACTTTTAGATGAAAATATGGTGCAAACTAAAGCGGTCCGGCCTAATACTCCAGAGATACCTACAGCAAACATATGTATCACATGCTCCACATTTACAAGCTGCTTGCACTAAAGCTGAGCAATCAATGCACTCACTAACACCTCCCCTCCCCACCCCACACTATCTGATTGAACATTAGCAAACCTTTGAGCCTTGCTTAACGCAAGTTAAAATTACATGGTCTTAAAAAGTTGAAGTTTTGCTGTATATCAAAACCCAATGCTCGAAGACGGTCTTGTGTAGTGATGTCCTTCTTGTTAATGATAAAACCCATTAGGTGAAAAGATCTTGTCAATAGCACCTAGCACAAATACTGCTACCTGTTTATCATCAACTGTGTCTGTTTTTTCCCCCAGCAGGTTGAGCAGAGGTCCTTGTGTAATTCTAAAACCAGGAGATGTCTTGGTCTTTGGGTTCCCAGAAAATTATAGCTACTGGATGGTGAAGAGTCTATAAAGGGTGAAACAAAAAGATGGTGAGAGCATGAACCTCATCATAGTGGAATGATCATCCGCCTAATCAGCAGAATTCCTTAAAATCAGAAAACCTTGAAGACACAGAAGTCACTTGAATACCTGAATCATAACACCCTACCATCTGCATACTAAGGCAAGTTTTATACTACATTTAATTGAAATAGTTATTAGTATTATTTAATTGTGTGTGTGTGTGTGTACTGTGCTTAACAAATTTACTAGACCACCACCCAATGTAAGATTTGAGCTGCCCTAAACTAACAGTATTGGTGATTACCAAAATCTTTTTTTTTTATTTTTTATGTTTCTGTAATGTTTAATCCACACCAGTATGTGTAAGCTCTGTTTCTAATGCTAAAATATAATAATATAATTATTGTTGGGATTTAATGGATTAAATTTAAATGTGTGTATATATATATATATTTGTGCATTTGATTTGTAGATTATTATACAATGCAAATATATTTCTTATGTATTATATTTATTATTTGTAAAATAAAAAAATAATATATATAAAGTATGTAAATGTGCAAAAATATAAAATAGAATAAAAAAATATTTTATATCATATTTTACTTTTCTTCCAGTGAACACAGCACACAATGGGCGAGTGAATGGATTGTGCTTCACAGCTGATGGACTTCATCTCCTCACTACTGGGACAGATGATCGCATGCGCCTGTGGAACAGTGGCACAGGGGAAAACACATTAGTGAGTAGCAGTTAGGCTGTTTGAAGACTTTCTTAATACAAATTGAATGCCTGTAAATGTCAGTGGAAAGGTATCAAAAGAATGAACAGAATGAAGATTGTGATGCGGCTTCTTCTGAGGCCTTCATGGGGAAACCCACAACATAATTCCACTTTTGGCGTCATCTTTCAAGTGCAGCATGGTCAACAAATGACAACAATGGTTACCATGACAAAAATGAAGCTGTGAAGAAAGAAACCACAACCAGTACTAGGGGATTTCTCAGCACATTTTAGATGTCAGGTATGAAAGAACAGTTTTCTGGTAAGATTGTGCCTTTATGAATAATTGGTTTCTATATCATTTCCAGTAACTTAACATGTTTGAAGAGCGTAGCTGCTAATGTTGGTGTATGTTTTCTTATCTATAGCCTGAATCCTTTCACATTTAATTGACAGAGCATTTACCTGTACTGTAGTCGAATTAGAGTGAGACGGCGTTTTTAAAAATTAAGTATCTTATAACCAGTACTATTTCATCACATTTGTAATAGATTAGATCAGACTGTTACACTGCAAGACTTGCAGCAATCCACCTCAGGAACAGGATATGCCATCTATATCATGATTAAAGGAAGCTGTGGTATCTGCATGCAAAATGATAGATACCACAGTAACATTTTGGTGCATCATCTCTTTAAAAGTCATTTTTTTATTTTATTTCAGTTAAACCTAACCAAGGATTTTCATTCGCCACTGGTACATGTAGTCTCTGACATGAGGACTTGGTATAACGTTTCTCAAACAGAAATGCTCCAGGCTTGTACTGCAATTTTTAAAGGAAGATGCCAGACTGGTTGCTAAACTAAGTGCTTCAGTGGACATGTGTTTGATGAAAATGCAGAGAGAGAAATGCTGGTGATGCAAGTTCACTCATAGCATGAGAAAGAAATAACAGAGGATTGCACAATGTTTTGCACAATCTGTCTGGTTATCTATTTTTCAATGAATGAATGAACGAGCCTCAACCTGATTCAAATAACCAACAGTGATATGTTAACTGACAAATGTTTAATTCATCTTCCTGGGAAAGCGGGAGAGCGAGGATCCAGGCTGCAGAAAGCATTAATCCGGTTCAGATCAGCGGTAGTAAGGAGTGTCTACACACTGCGAATCAAACCCATCAGAATCGAGGAGAGAACTGGCAACGTCATGGAAAAAATGACGTCAGGTTTAATTAGCCGCCGGGGAAGTCTCGTCCGTGACTGTGGGCGGGGCTTACAGCGCCGGCTCGTGCTGAAGCGTGTCGTTTCTTAAGTTAAAATAAACCACGACGCTGAACAGCTTATTTTACACCTAACCGCTCTCGGGAACATCTTTATAAATTATGTTAATACAAGCGAACGCTGGGCAGAGGGTGCGCCTAGCGTGATTGACATCTTGTCTCAGCCAATGAGGATCCTCCTGCATGTCAGCGGCCGTCCTCCTGACGCGCATCACATGTCTCAAGCGACGCGGGGCTGTGGGAGGGATTTCTCTGCAGATTGGAGGAGCTAGATAGACGGCAGAGTGAGTCTCAGGGAGACCGAGAGAGTGAGGGGGATCTCTGAGGCACCGTTCGGAGGGCATTGTGAGTGTAATTTCACCATTTCTCGCATGCATGCTTGTGCTACTGCCGCGTTTCAAATGCACCGGTTTTTTTTGCGTCCTCTCTGCTGACTGTCTACATTCACCGTGCTGTCCGTTAGCCTGCGTTATTATCAGCTAGCCAAATTGGCTAGGCAACTCCTGCTAGTTGGTAGCAGGCAGAGAAAGGAGCAAGAAGGCAACCAGGCTGCTGTGCATTTTTAACCCACATCTGCCTATTGTCACTGCATGGGGAGGGGGTGTGTGGAAAATCAATGGGGTTTTAATGTATCGCACCATGTTGAGATGCAGGGATGATGTGTAGTGCACGCTGGAAAGTTGCTTTTGACGTATGAAGCTTGTGAAATGTGTTCGACCGCGCGCGTCGCGTTTCTACGTCTGCGATCACGCGCCTCAGCGTATATTTTAGAAATACAACTAATAAAATAACACGATTTTATTATAAAATAATGATATAAAAATAACAAATGTGCATTGGAGCTTTATCGTCCTTTAAAATATATTTTAAAAATGTTTGTTTTTTTGACACGTTATCCTAGACAGCGTGACCCTAATGTTATTTTAAACGCCGTCAATTTTTTTGAAAGCCGCCCTATAAAAGACTCGCGCTGTGACTGTTACAGATCCGTTGACTGTCATTCGTCGGGTCCCTGCGAGAAGAGCGTTAACTCTGGTGAAACTACTGTCTCTATGATTTTCTTGGACTCGAAGCGACAGTTCAGCGTGTTCAGCTAAGCGACCGTCTCTGTCAGTTTGACTGTCGATGACTTGTGACTTTAGCCGGGTATTTTTAGGGTTTTACCTGAAAATGAATGTTTTGAATTGCGGCGGAAAGTTGGAGACCGCTTCAGTTTCGAGAAAGGTAACGTTAACAAGATTTTGATCTGGTGTCATTATCAAGACTAAACCAGTAACTTGCACTCCTTTTTGACGGGATGACTCGAGTTGAGACCGCTAGCAGGCTAAAGCCAAATGTGAGGACGCTTCAGCTGTCAGCTTGCTTTTGGACCCATTAACGTTACCTGCTCGTCGGTTATCGCATTTCGATGTGTATTTTACAACAACCGTTTAGACAGCGTTCAACAAGCTTAAAATGTCACTTTGGTCATCGTTTACTCACCACTATGTTGTTCCAAACCCGCGTGACTCTCTTGTTAAGAGATGTTAGTCAGATTGACATCCACAATCACCATTCACTTTCATTGTATGGGGGAAAAAAAAATGCAGGGCTGACTGCACTCCGTAAGAAAGTAAGGTGTGTAACAACATTAGGGTGAGTAAGTGATTTTCTTTTATTTTGGGTGAACTGTCCCTTTAAGCTTGAGGCGTTCATGTCAACAGTTGTAGTATAAGTCCTAATTCCTCCTGTCATGTGTGACTCGGCATGAGGACTGGAACAAGCGCTGTGCGACACGTCAAATTTGCTTGGATCGTATTTGAAGGAGCAGATGTGCAAAACACAATGCACCCAACTTAATCGGCTGACTTATTTTGTCTACTGTCTGCCTAATGTGTTGAGATTGAATATGGCACCTAGAATTTCTAGATAGATCCCGGTGTGCGTTTAAATAGCGTGTCAGGTTTTAAAAATCATATCACCGTTATTGAAAAAAATTATATCGCGATACATATTGATATTGAATTATTGTCCAGCCCTAGTCAGGTCTGTTACTCCTTGGCGTACATCATTCGCTGCCCTGTTGCTTCTTTTGCTCAAGCTTTTATAGCTCCTGATAATACCTCGCTGTATGATAGCAGTGCTGTATTTGACCTAGAATCTACAGTTGTATATTCAGATTTCTCTAACTTAATTTGTAAGGGTGTATTTGTATGTGATCTTTACAAAATGCTTTGTGTTCATTGACCTTTGACAGCTGTAGATCAGTACTCAGGGGGTTTATTGAGATTGCAATGTATTTGTAAGGAACCTGTGATGTCATTGTAATAACCATTCCCGATAAACTTTCTTCAAGACAAATTTGGAGTAAATACTGTCTGTTTTGTTGCAATACAGTACAAAATCGTCATTGTAATTGCTGAGCGCTAAACTGTCTCTGTTAAAAGAGAAGTTTTTTCTTATTTATTGCAGGATGGAAATGTGATTTAGGGGAGCGAAGCGGTTCCGGGTGGAGATCTCGAAGACCGGAGGCGGCGGAGGGGGAGAGGTCGTCGCCCGGGGCCTGGCTCGCGTCTAACCTTTGACTCAAGTGATCTTCAGAGGCCTTTGGACTGTTATACGCACAGGCATGGCCTAGTTGTATATCTATTGATTTAATAAAAAATTTTGACCTAGATATAAATATGCAATAAAATATTCAGTTTCTAGAGCATTAAAGTGTTACTTAGGCACTGTGAGAAGCAGCTTGCATTCAAATGACGATTATGGTTAGTCTTGTCATGCTTATATTTTAATATATATTATTATTATTGTTATATTATATATTATATACAGTGTTATTTTAGTATCACTGAGATGCTACTATTGTTTTTATTAAATACTTTGAATTAGTTTTTTTTCCTCATTTTCCTTTTAATTTGTTAAAGTTTAGGCTAGTAATTTTGTTGTGCGTTTTTGTAGTTGTTACTATGTGTTGGTCTTCAGCATATGTTTTGTTTAAATTTAACACTGTAAACCCAGATGTTTTTGATTATGGACCATGGCTGTACCTCCAGTAATGTTAACTATGATTTGGTCAAACAAAGTGTTCATTCTTTTGTACAGCGTGTGTAGTACAAGCTGTAATGTTATATTATTTTAATTAAGTAAATGTGAATGTTTTCCATGCTGACTGGAATGGAAAGATGGTAACTTGGCCCCTCTCTCTAGTATTGTTTATGTAAGAGGCCACTGCTTTTGTGTCACATTAATCTGAAGTGACATTCAACCCCTCATAAGCTATTATAAACAGCTAAAAATAAAGTGCTGTGCTATTAAGTAGTACATTTGAATAATGTTGCAATTTATTTACTCTATAGCATCATGCTTTATGCCTTAATCAGACGTCAATGACAGAGAAAAAATAGGCATCTTAGGTAGGGCTGTGACGGTCGCCGTGACAACCACGTCAACCGACCACCGCGGTTGTCTACTGCCACCGGCGGTAGTGAACGTGACGTCACGCATTCTATAACAAGCATAATACGAAGTTTTGTATACAAGTGTAATAACAGTAAGTTGCAAATTATTTTATTTAGACTATAAGTCTATGGTAATTCACAAATTACCTCAAACGCCATACACAGTGTTTCCTTTAGATTGGCAGGTTTGAGCGCAGGAAAATCCAGTTTATGCATTCAGCAAATTAATTTTCTTTTGGGCGATGGACCTTGTTGGGAAACCAAATACTACATCGCCAATCTGGAGCTATCTCCATTCATGTCACCCATCTGCGTTTGTACAAGTGTCTTCAAGTTCCCGTGATCGCAAACGCCCGGCTGGTCAGGTTTGGTGAGGCTTTCTCCAAACTGGCCAAATACAAACGAGACAGCGATAAATGAAAGATGTTAACAAGAAATGTGGCAACGATTCCTATTTCAAAGAGAGCGCGTACAGATGAGGAGTTAATGCGCCGCTTGCTTTGCGGCGGAACAGTGAACAGTGTCTACACCGGATGCGACACCGCCGCGTCGCAACAGGTTGAGTATGTCTAGTGTCTACACAGGACATTTGAACTCTGTGTCAGTACCTCATAAATAGAACGAGGCAGTTTACTGTCGGGGATTTGGCATGTCGTGTTGTGCCGCATCCGCAGCTCGCGTCCCGTAGACAGGGTGTATTTAACTTTCTTATTTAGGCTACTTTCTTGTTTAACTGTATTATTTCTTTGATATTTATTTTAGTGTTTTGCAGGCTGCGTATTCACTGACGGAAGTGCTAAAATAAACACGAGCTGAAGAGTTAAATCGGGTGTGTTAGATGTGTGAGACAGTGCTGGGCTGCTACAGGACAGTTTTGAAAACCATTTCAGAGACATGTTCTTAAATGTGACTCATATAAAATATATTACATGCATGCTAAAAATGCGTACAATATGCATTGAATTGGACGAATAACCTTTGTTAGCGAGTAATTGTGTAGTATAGAACTATTTTCCTGCTCATCTGAGCACACGCAAATGTTGCAAGACAGAACTAATCAATCACAGAGAGCGTTCTCTCACTTCTGACAGTACATTCAA